ACAGAGAGACAGAATCAGACTTTTAAATATGCAGCAGAGGCGTAGGAGCAAAAATCTGAACTGTTGCCATTTTGGTTTGTAGAACAAATCTATGGGATGGTGCCACCTTCTGCTCTACAGTCTGCACTAATGTACACCAATTAGTTTATATTAATTACAGTTCTCTCTCATGTAAGACATGTGGATGCATTTTATGCTGCTTTTGCATGAGGAACTTGCAGTTTATGCATTTCTTCCCTTTTTAGGTCAGGTTGCAATGATAAAGGTAATGTTTCCATGACAACAGAGTGAAAAACCTTCGGAAGAGGAACATTGAATTCATTGAGTTGCTGTTTTATCCATCACTCTCATGTACATGGTTAGTAAAGTCATCATCTCGCATTCGGAAGGTGAACCCCTGGGCGAGTCAATTAACCCCAAGATGTCTACCTATGTGTGTATCCATGTATAAATGCGTATTCAGTTGTAAGTGTGAATGGTCAATGTGCTTTCTCATGAGGATCATTTGTTGGGTTTAAAGTACGTTTTGAAAATTACACATAGGCAGCTATTAAATATGCCTTTCACTAAGTCTACAATCAGCATTAAAATGCTTCTTTTAATTGGTCTGAGATAATATTCTAATATTACTGTTATCTGCCATAAGCAGAAAATCATCAAAAGTGGAAAGCTCTTTGTCAATGAGTTCATTTGCAAACTGTGATCTGGCATTTTGTTGCTTTTGAGCTATTGATTTCTTCTGCCTCTTTGAGTGTACAGAAGACCCTCAGTGCTCCTAACAAGCCAGATCATTGTAATTTTTTTCTTCTTAAGTGTTCAAATGAGTCACCTCAGGTGCTCCACTTTTATGGGGAAACAAAGTGTCACATGATGAGCTCCATTTCCACTTGTTTCTTTTCTTGCAATGATTCTTACATTGATTTGTCAAAATTGTGTATTAAAGAAGCAAGTTAATGTGGGAGCATCAATCAAGTATTTCAATGCAGCCTTAAGACATTGTATTTACTTGATTTTTGTTATAAAGTCAGTGATAGATTTGACTCAAAGCTTCCCTCAGTGTGAACCCCAGCAGCTTAAAAGTCTTGGGTTTGCACAATTCTGAGGACCCAAAGGGCTAATCAAACCAGACTCTTGTCCCGGTATTTAAACTTTGTTCACCCTTTCACTTCAGTGCACTTTTACTCTACTCCTCTCTGTACAATTTTTTGCTTCCCTGTGACCTGTAATCCTCCATGGAGAAGAGGAGAAGAGCCCAGTCCCTGTGGACCACCGCAGCTGAAGATAACATCCACACATACCAGGAAATCCTCAGCTCATTTTTATTTATCCAAGTCTGCAACTCGGGTAAGTACAGAGAACGGGAGCTACAGATGGAATTTTCCTCCCATGCGCTGGCTGCTCAGATGCACGCACAAAAAAAAAACATAAAACATATACACAAACACACCCACCCGCATGCATGCATGCATCACAGACCTGGTAATGACCTTGTCTCTGCATAGTCACTGAAACATGAACTTTAAACAAGCACCCTTTCCGCCAAGACCATAGACCCCACTCAACACACTGCAAAATGATTCATCATATTGTCATGTCAGAGCAGTCTGAGGCCAAAGTATAGTGTGAGTTCCTCATCCTGTATTTTGGAGACTATGGATCAGGATGTGAAATCTTCTGCATCTGTCATGACTTCAGCGTTTCTGCTCCACCTTCTGCGCTGATTGCTCATCACTCTCACCTGCACTGTGCTGCTCCCTATTTATACAGCTGATTTTCTCCAGCTCAGTGCGAGATCGTCTGTTGTCCTTGTCACAGCTTTCAAGCCATTGTTTCATGTCCCAAGGAGTTTTCTGGTTTACTGATCCTGCCTGTTTTTTGACCTTAGATTCTGCCTTGTCCTTCGGCTGCTGAAAGTACTCTGATCTCCTGTTAAAGAACCCTGCCTGTCGCCGACCCTGCCTCCTGCTTGCTGTTTGCTGTTTACTCTCCTGTGCATGACCCTGGATTGTCTCTCTACTCCGTCTCTGGTTTGTGGACTTTGCCCCTGTGGTCTGTTTGTTCTCTGAGCCCCCAAGACTGTCTGTTGTCCTGTCATCCTACTTTGTCCCACCCCCGGCTGGATCCCTGTCCCCTGTGGATCCCTCCTCCCTTATCTGCTCATTTTTTCCCACCCCGTTCAGTCCTGTCTAAATTATTATTTTTTGTCATTGAAACTTCTGATTTAACTTTCTCCTGTGTTGGCTGCGTTTTGGGTTCTGGCTTTTTTGGGTTCTGGCTTTTTTGGGTTCTGGCTTAGTTTGCTTACCATTACAGCATCCCAGACTTTATGCAACTGAAAATATCTCTGAACCAAACGGCAGACATTTACATGCAGCAGTATAAAACTGAGAGTGCCATTAGAGGGACACTATAAATTTACTGCGTTGCTGACTCTGTGATTTGGTGAACTTTTGCAAAGACGGTATGCAAAAGCACGTATGGGTTGATACAAATAGAAAGAGTCAGGAAGGTAGGAGAGAAATGGGGGTGCTAGCTCCTCAGTGACATGAAGATATGTTTTGAGTTTTGAGAGAAGTGAGAACATCCCTTCCAATTTATAGCTTCTTGACACCCATTTAACGATCAGATTGATATCAGGAGACTTTTGTCTGCCCTCCAGAAACAGTACCTCCATCAGCAGGATGTTCACCTTCTCGACATACAGAGAAATGTGCCTACCCAGACCAGAGAATCAAACAAATGAAAGCAGAACACACTGCCAAAATGTCAGCTAATGACGCTGGCTGACAGGTTTGAAATCGGCCAGTTCTCTCCAAGTGGAGAGGACTGGATCAACATTGCTCTCTAGTTGTCAGTCTTGCTCTGTTGGCTTATAGGGTAAAATATTGCATCAGTAAAACAAAGCATGAACGGAGTAATACTGTGTCTTATAGAATGTCTTCCTAAACTATTTCACACATTTTAAATGTCACTAAAGCAAATTTCAATGTACTTAATTGGAATTGCATGTGATATAACAATAGAATACTGTTAACTCACAACATGAAAAATTGCAAAAAATAAAATAAAAATGTTACAAGTAAGTGAAGCAACCAGCATTTTTTTAATGTGATTCCCATAAATAAAATTCACTGCTACCGGCTTTTTTTTTCGGATGTTCCCTTAAGTTTCTTCATTTCACAAAGCACATTGTCTCTTGCCACTTTACAAAAGCTCCAAGTATTCAAAGAGGTATAAATACTCAATAAGGGGTTTTCACCATTTGATGTAATTAAATCCAGCAGTAAGTAGTCACCAGCTATTCTGTCAAGTTCTCAGTGGTTTGTTTGAGGAGATTGGTGCAACAGCATAATGAAGAAAAACAAGCTGTGTAAATGTTTAAAACGGGATTAGGTTACATAAAATTACATACACTTTGAACATCTCACAGAGCTCTTTTCAATCCGTGATTGGACATCAGAAGGCTCATGGTGTTAACCGTTTTGTAAAAAGCTGGACTTAACAAGCAGTTAAATGCAAATATGTGATAACCAAACAATAATAATAATAAAAAGATTCAAGAGTAAAATAAATCTTAAATTAATTGATCAAATCTCTTGTAATGAGCTTAATTATTTCCACATCACAGAGAATACAGCTGTACTCCAGTTTGTGAACACAGAGGAAAAAAAATTACATTTTATTATGCAAAGAAACAGCGACACTCTGTGGTTGTATCATGGAAGTGAATTTATCTCTTGGTGGCCAAAGTGTTGCCTTTTGGTTGAAGTTCAAACCAACGAGTATAATTCTTATTCTAGGTGGTTTTTCAGAATTTAAAGAGTTTAAAGAAACAAGTTTTCCATATGATACAACTTTACAGTACTTTAAAAGAAAAAGTGTGTGTCACTCATGTGTCACCAGCATCCATGCTCGCTTAAAAGTCATCTGGGTCCCTTCTGCCACTTTAATACTGAGTTTGGACATCTGCAAATTTTCAGAATATGTGGATGTCTGACTGAATAAAGTTGACTAATCATTGGCTAATTCACAACTTCTGTTAATAGGCAAGTGTGCATTAGAAAACCTGACAAAGAAATGTGTGGATAACTCCCAGAAAAGTAAGAATTTGTGTAAAGTCATAAGTCTTTTAAATTGAATGGTGAGTGCCGGGCTGCACATTTGCAGTGAACAGGTCATGGAATCAAATCCTGGCCTGGCAGCCTTCTACATGGAGCCTACCTATAAATTGATATTATATACAAGTGTGTGACTGTTTATCCTGACTGTGTGTATTGACTTGTAATGGAGAGGTGATCTGTCAAGGAGGTATCCCACATCTGGCCCAGCAACCACTGGAGACAGACACTCCTCCCGATCCACAGGTATGTGTAGCTGAGCCCATAGGATCAACCTGTTGTGTGAACTGTTAGATCCCCTTTCACAAGTTATTATGTCTAATACAGAAAAAAAAAATCTGTCCCATAAATAAGACCATTAGATCTTAGACAAGGACAGCCATGCAAAGTATCATCATCGTCATGTCTTTTTTTACAAAAATGTTTGAGGACTTTCCAGAACAGCTTGTTTTTTTAAATGTGCTTACAATGTATTAAGCAGACACACACACACACGTTTTTATTGTTCTATGAAAGTTGCATTTATATCATTTAGTTTAATCATACAGGTGGAAAATGTCAGTTTTCAAAATATAGACAGATATGCCACAAGAGCAATAAAACACAAGAAGGGAGATTCGTTAGCAACTACAGACAGAGAGGCTTTTGTGTGAAGAACTCATATTGTTTCATATTTAAAACTAAAATACATCGTCATGATTTTGATCTAATCAAATCCTTAATTGACACATTTCAAAACTCTGGATAAATGTGTAAACTAACTGTCCATCAATGAAACCTTTAAAATTTAATGAAAATATTTTCAGTACTGAAAATATTTTCACAAAAAAAAATTACAAAATGATTTGGCTCAAAGTCTGAGTCAGCTTCATTTATTTTATGTCAGTTAAAGTAAGGTTGAACAAATCTACTTGGCATGTAGGGATGCAAGAGCCCCCCAGTGGATGAAAGCGGAACACCACCGGCTGTGTGGAAAATCACACTCCCAGAGCTGAAGTTGGAGAAAGTTTGGTGGAAGGCGCCGGAGCCTGAGCTGCAGGATGGTGGGTTTGGACTGACACTGACCAGGGAGCTGGAGCCAGTCTGTAAAGTGCTGTCTGCCCCAGGGTTCTGTTTTTTCCACTTGGTCCTCCTGTTCTGGAACCAGATTTTCACCTGCGTTTCGGTCAAACTCAGGGACAGGGCCAGGTTCAGTCTTTCGCACACGGACAGGTACCGGGTAGCGCGGAACTTGTTCTCCAGAGCCACAAGTTGCTCGTATGTGAACGCTGTTCTGGCGCGTCGCGGCTTGGCGCACGCCTGGTCAACACGTCGTCGCTTGTGCGGTGAAGGGTCCCGCGGGGGGGGCACGGCTCTCCTGCCTGCGTCCTCAAGCTCGCTTGAGGAACATGTTAGAATGGGATCAGGAAGGACCGCTGGGTCTTCGTCGCCTGTCTCTTCTCCTGTGAAGACAAATTAAGTTTAGCGCAGTGGAGCTGTCCATCCTTCCATCCATCCCTTTTAGGGAATGATTCGGACGAGAGGCGTGGACAGGTCGCCAGTCTGTCGCACAGTGGAGCCACCAAAGGAGGGAAATGGGGGGGAAAGGACCAACCCATCGCAGGCCCAAAGAGAAAATGTCCTACTTATATAGCTTATCATTCAAAAGACCATAGTGATTCTCACAGTGAATTAAACTTGCAAATAAGACATTGAATTTTTTAAAAAAAGAGACCCAGTTGCACTTCCTTAATCAACAAATTTCTGTTGCATTATAACGTTTGAGTTTTTATATCAACTCAAATTGTGTTGTTTAATCAGAAACAAAAACCATCTGGCATGAGTGTTTCACTTTATTTTCATGTAACACAATCTTCACAATGAAACAAATTGGAATTGTCTGGCCTTCGACTTGCAGAGCAAAGTTTTAAAGGCTGCCTTAATCAGAAGGTTGTCAAGTGGGCTTGACATATCGGGATCATTTGAAATGTAGTTCGGATCCTGAGACATTGGGGCCCCGGCTCCCTCTTGAAATGTTACATTTTCATAAAACATAAATCTTTGTTTAGGCAGTTATGAAACAACCCATACTTTGATGAGATCTCAGTCTACAAACTGGGTTTTTGAATGAATGTGAATCGAGAAAAATGGGCCCCACAATTAGAATGAAGGACTGATGGAAAGAAATCTGTGGTTGAGGCAGTGACATTTTTGCTGAAGTTTTGAAAATGCGTCTGAATTGGAACTTTTGCTCATTCTGTTTGAAAAAAAATGCCCTAAATTTACAGAATCTGGATCTGCTCAACGCTTTATAAATCTGATCTTGTCCTCGTCCATTTTTAGACATTAAGTATGCAACACAATGTTCATCAAGCTCCCAAACCTCCATATTTCTTACTCCTTCATCTGTAAAAATAAATTGATAGTCTCAAAATTTTTCACTCGTTTGCATTTATTTTGTCGTCTTTATTTTTCACTTTTTCAGTACTCACCAAGTTGACTCTGACCATGCACATTGACCTTTTAAATAAGCAATTCTGATTGCAAATAAGAGTTTTAATATTGACAGTTCTAGGGGATTCTTAATACACTTTTTTGTTTTCCTTTTGAAATCTACTTTAAAAAAATAATCAAAAAACGTAAGGCTTCTACAACTGCAATAAAAAAAACTTGGATTCAAATAATAGTGTGGCCTCCTTGTCCAGGTTTGTGGTGCTGAAGGACAGCTCTTAATGAGCTAGAAATCTGTCAAATATTTTGCTCTAAAGTCTTTTTATGATAAATTAAACTACAAATTTTTTTTTTTTTTTTTAACTCAGAAATACTTGTTTTGAGGTCAGAGGTTAGTGGAGCAGAAAGCTGCATTCAGAGGAGAAGGAAGACTTGGTCACTAATCCTTAAATAATTTATAAAGCGCCTGGCGCTTCAAATGTCATGTTGCGGAAAGAAATCCCGTCTAAATCCAGCTCCGCCACCCCAGCCGTGACGTGCTAATGGAGTTTCATATTTGCTGCGGGGATCGATAAATGTCATCTATTTAAAAGGAAGTTTTAATCGAACGATATTTAGGATCAGACATGGATGGGGTTTGAGGTTTGTACCTGCAAGGTGCTGGAGGGAGATATGCAGGAAGCAGTAATGGGATATCGATCAAAGCGCGCAGAGGCATCCTCAATGGGACGATTTAAACAATTATCTGGCCTGCCTGTCCCGGTGCCAATCACAGGCGGGGGCTCTGGGAGCAAAGCCTTTGTGGCTTCCCCCAAAGGAAACGCAGCTCTCGAAATTAAGGGAAGGTCATCCAGAGACGACAGCAAATCTGATACCAAATCACTTTCCTGCGTTTTAGGTTCAATTCATTTCATTTCGAAGAACCCAAAAAATATATATTTTATCAATTGTATTTTTATTTTATTTTATGCATGTTCAGTGTTCCCAGCTTTTTGTGTAAACCTCTGCGTACTTTGAAGATTAAAGCAATCTAATTATTTGAAAAATGTGTGAAGTTTTCTTTACCTGCATCTGTGCGCTCATCCCTGAAGTCTCTTGCTGCTGCGCTGGCCCATTCTAAACTTGTCCCCTCTGCATACTGCACAGTTAACTTCTCCTTAGCGATGGGAAGTTCGTTTGCTCTTCTGCTGTTGAATTTGTTGGGATCCAATATATCAGCTATAGAAAAGGAAATCTTATGGCCAGACATCATTATCGCTCCTCAGGTACAATCATCCTTGGATGCTTTTAAGACCTGGAATGTCGGAAGAGGCGGTTGCTGTGCGTAATTACGCGCCTGGAGATGAGCTGATCGTTTTAATTTGCAGCGGGCTTGCAGTGCTCAAACTTCACGTGCAGCGGGTTTTGGAGAGGTTCCTCCTCAGAATGCAGACATCACTCCCCTCTGCTGCTGTCAGTCTGTCTCGCAGCGTGAACGAAATGACCGGTGCGCAGTCTTTAAAGCGCGCAAGCCCCGACTCACCCCCCAATTCTCTCAACCAGACACGTGACACAAACACTATTAGTGTTTCACACGACCACCTAATGGTCTCAAAGCGTCCAACGATAATCACCCATATCATTAAACCCAATAATTGACGAGCTGCATGTAAATTGGGCGCAGGTGGCTCTTGATTAATTGGGAATCGTCCTGTCTTTGCACCTTTCACTCTGTTCTGCACGTTTTAAACGAGCAAAATTACAACGTATGTAACTCTATATGTTACTGTAGTTCGTTTTTTTTATTATTTTGCACTGTAGTTGTTATAGTATTAATTGCAAACTATAGATTGTGCTTTTTCATACTTGAAAAATGAGCATTATTAATACTAACATTATGCCTTTGATTAACCAAAAAGTCCCATTAAGATCCGAGAAGTTTTAAAATAAATTTCCACACACATCCAAACTATAAACACACTTGAAAAATACACAATAAACAGTAAAACAGAATGATACAGCTGTCCAAAATACATTGACTTCTAAAGAAAAACAAAGGAAGGTAGCCGTAAAACTCTGAATGGGTGAAAAAGGTTGTTTTTTTAGGTTTTGTTGAATGCATTTTTTGTAGATTGTTCCACGACCCTTTGCTCAAACTTTTCATACAGTCACATAGTATGCTAAAAAATAGTTTTCATGTCTGTTCAACCTTTTTATATTTTTGTTAACCCTAACCTGCAAATATTTGGAGTAGAAGGAAAGTTAGGGTTTTCAAAAATAATTTTTTGTATATTCAAAATGCTGTGTTGTCAGAACCTAATGTCCTGAATACACTATGAACGTACTATGAAGGCAGCTTCATACTGTGGGTTTGTTTTTCTTCAGCAGGTACGAGGAAAGCTGGTCAGAACTGAGGGGAAGGTCCGTCACATCTGAAGCAGACTTCATACTGAGATGAAGGTTTTCAGATCAGTAAAAACACCAAACAAATTACAAATCCTGGTGTTCAGACCTGGACATACCTCATTTTGTTTATATGATTTACATAAAGAGGTTTTTACTTTCTTTATTATGTATTTTATGTATTTATCTATTTTAAGTCTTTGCTTGCACACATGAATGCCTCTTCACACTGCCGTCATGCATTTGACACAGACTGCTGTGAACCTCTAAGGTTTCTTATTATTTCCTTGTGTAACGTTTTGTGAACAACAGGAATTACCGATGGCGATGCTTGAGTAGTCAAACTCAAGCATAAATCATAGTTATTCTGTGTACCACATTGTTTGTGGCATTTGTTTGAGTTATGAATTTTCTATGATGTTATGTAAGCAATGGGAATCCAAAGAGCAAAATTTCTATATTTACTAATTGTAAAATGCAGAACAGGGCATTGAATGCACACAATGAGTGAGAGTGTTTCTACAGAACTAATGTAGCTGATGACTTTTTTCTACAAATCTAATTGATTTAATTTCAAACTGCTTCTAAGTTTTTGTGATGAGAGTTCGACACAAAGTGGGTCTGTGTGCTGTTTAACATTGAATTACTGGCTCTGGGTAAAATGGTGAAACCAGCACTTAATCAATATCCTCAAGCAGGTGCCCAGTACAGATAAAACCTGATGCCTAAGACATTTTGAAGACTTGAAAGGTAATCCACAGCAGCACAAATACAATAATTTAAGCGATTGTTGGCTTTTTAAAATATTTTCAGTTAATTCTCTTTTCAGTTCAGCTTATTTTTGTTCAGACTGATTTTATTTAAGTTTTTTATTTCAACCTCTGCAAAAACACTACAGGACAATTTTGCTAAGACACTGATGAAAATGATGAGCAAAAGTTTTCCCACAATAGAATTGACTTTAGAATTGCCTTTAAGTTTGTTTGTTGTTTTGACGCTTACAAATAATGAAAACCTTAAATTCCTTGTCTCGGAAAATCAGAAAAATGTAAAAAAAAAAAAAGTAATTATTTGCCAAAATCTATTTATTTATGTCAAATTGGAGCATTGTTTACATATTTGCAGTGCCCCTTTCCCCTCTTTTTCATTAAGGCCATATTTATGGAGCTCACATATTAGTTATCGCGTCAAAAACATCTTCCTCATGAACTGTGGATCTCTGCAGCTCCTCCATAGTTAACATGGCTCTTTTGGCTTCTTCTTAAATCAACACAGTCTCACGTCAGGTGTGCAGCTATGTCTTCGTACGTTGAAGTCAAGACTGAGGATCAGATTGAGAAGAAAGCAGAAAAAAATATAACTGTGTTTGCAGTTTGTGGTGGTGGAAACATGGAGGACACAGCCATGTTTACAGGCTATCAGAAACCTCCCTCACAGTTCCTGTCTTTGTGTGATCGGTCTGCTACTGATCTACATGTGGCTTTCATTGCTCCCGGTCTCTGTACAGTCTGTAGGTACATAGTTAAACATTTGTTGAAACCTCCATGAAAGGGCTGTCTGCATGTCACCATTTGCATGTCTATCGCAGTTGCACGGGTATTTTGTGGGCCCTCCATATGAATGGAGCCCGCTGCACGCTGGGGGTTTACAACTTCCTGCGAGAAAGCCCAGTGGCCGGACATCTGTTTGCGTAGGTCAGCTGGACAAAAGGACGAGCCCTGAGTACAAAGAGGCCTGCAGGTAGACTTCTGAGAGCAGGAACAGCAGCTGGTTCAGCTCTGGGGTTTGCTTGAGCCACAGAGAGACTTCAGAGAGGAGAGATCACTGTCGAACACAGCAGGGAGCCGAAGAGACACACTTCCATTCAGTGGCCCCCTCTGGGGTCAATAAAGTAGCCACTTCCCAGGGATGCTGCTAAACATCAGATAATTTGTCTAATGGCAGGAGCAAGATTATGAGTCGCAGTCGTGCTCTCCGACTTTTGTCTTCATTGTCTTCTTGAAGCTCCAACAGAGCCTCCTCCACTTTCCTGTGAAATGGGACTCAAACAAAAGAGCAACAGGAGTCTGGTCAATCATTAAGGAAGGATATTTAATCTGAAACGGGTATTTCTGATAATTCTTTGACTGTTTTCTGTTGTTCTTTTTTACTGTGTTTGATTGCATTTGATAAGCGAGGAATGAACAGGAAATTTGTGTTTGACAACAAACATTCTTCCAATGAAGCCTGATGATTTTGGTGACTTTCCCTCTGTGTTTTCACTTCTAATATCCCCTACACTTTGGAATATGACCAAACATCTGGACCACTAATGACATTCCCATCAGCATCATCTGAACCTTATGTTTAGTGCTAAATAGGAAATGTTGCCATCGCATCAGACGGGAGGGACTCGCCAGGCCCAAACAGAACAAAGATGAAAACTTTACATTTATGCCACATTTTCCTGAACCTGTCTTTCTAAAAAGCTAACAATCTTCCCCTCAATCATCTGAGCGTCACAGCAAAAAGACTCTGTTGCAAACTCAGCTTCCAGACCATTCTGGAATATGGAAGCGCTTTTTGATGATTTATAGGTTTCACTTCACTTGGTCCTCTTGCAACATCGCAAAACACAAAAGGTAAAACTGACATTAGGACCAAGCACGTTTGGCCTTTTATTTTCAGTGTTGCCTCTTTCTTTATTTTTGGGTCATTGTTTAATTTGGAGGTAGAAATTATTGATTGTTATATCTTAGCAAAAATAACTGAACTAAATTGATCCTTGATGCACAGCTTATCTTATCAATTTCTCTTTCATGGGATTGTTTCCATCAACCACAGACATTTAATGAGACATTGACAGCTAAGACTTCACTGCTATATTTATGTTATGGCCGACTCAGTCATAGGGAAGACTGCTTACTTCAGAGTTGCCCAGCAAGCTATTGCTGACAACATCCACAAGAAAGGAAAGCAACAGGTTTTTTCCAAGATCGGAAACTTGGGTGGAAGGAAAATGTGTTGCCAACAACCAGGTACAACTGTGAGAGGATTTTGAACCAAAGCAGGTTCTGGAATTACAAGGCATAGACTTCAGATGGAGTCACTCAAACTTACTCAGGACATTGGCAACAATGGTCACATTCCTTGTGTTAAGTGACTCCTGAACCCAAGAAAACATCTCATTCTTTTTTTCCGATCTGAGGAAAAAAATACATTTGAAGCAGTGGTCAGTGCCTCAAGACAAAGTCTAAGTTGTTCATAGTTCAGTGACATGTTCCCATAGTGAGTGTTTTTGAGAGACATGCCATCTGCTGGTGTTGGTTCTTTGTGTTTTTCTTTTTTTAGGCTAAGGCCAATACAGCCAGGATATTTTAGATAATGTCATGATTTTCTAAGGTACCGGTTTCAATGACCAGCAAACTTCATGGGGTTTATTGTGAATCTGACTGTGGACTTTAACCATCTCACCACTCTATTTTTTTTCAGATCTTGTTTCATGTGAAGGAGTTGATTGATACAAAGTGTACTACAGTCCCTGTCCATGTCCTGGATATATCCAGCTGCAGTTCTTGAACCTCCAAAATCTCTCTGAGGTGTTTTTCAAAGAAAAAACATATTAGAGGCAATTATACGCTTACAGTTTCCTCTGTTGCTTGTGCACATTTTTCAACCACCCTTTTTTTTTTCCATTCAACTTTCCATTATCACGCTTGCGCGCAGAATTCTTTGTGCAGGCTGTCATGTCTGCAGTCTCTCCAATGATTGTTTTGGCCAAAAAATTAAATGATCTTAAGTTTTTTTTTTTAACTATGGAAATAGACTATATATTCATAGATCATTAGATTAGATTGCCCGTATGCATTGAGGAAAATCTTTGTTAATTTCTCCATAGTGGGATGTTTGTCTCTATTGAGATCTGTTTGGTTTGCCTTTTGTGACGTCAGTGAAGCACTAAGCTCTGCAGTATCCTCACATCTCAAATTTTCTTGTAATTCTAAACCAGATGTCATTGATGTGTGCTCTTTGAGTTCAGAACAGAGTCTTCGTCATAAGCACCAGAGCTTGAATCTTGCTGCCAGGCTCCTTTTCCATCAGGCTTCTCTGTTTGTTCGACTCTGTTCGACAACAAGGTC